TCTTGTCTTTAATCAGGATATCGAGATTGAGAAACTGGAAAACGAAAGTGAAGAAGGGATGAATTTAGTTGAGCCCTTTAGCTTTACCGATGCCCAAAAACCTGGATCCGTTTGTCAATACGTTGACATCAAAGAGTTGCTCGAGGCTCACGCGGGAAGCTTGGAGTTAGATACGTCGAATGGTGTAAGTAATGCCGGTGAATTGGCCTTCAAAGAAGCTGAAAGTGTTAAAGACTCGTCTTTTCACACTGTCACTAACGCTAGTATGGTAGCTGAAATCGAGAGGGAAAATGATTCTATTTCTCTCTTAAACGAAGAGTCTTTATTAGAAAAACCGATAAGTGAGAGAGAGAAAGAGCAGCTCGAGAAAATACAGTGTATACGAGTAATTTATCTGCAGCTTCTCCACAAGTTGGGATATTCTCCGGAAGATTCCGTAGCTTCAAAGATTCTACACCGCCTAAGTACTGCCGAAGCAAAGCTATCATCACAACCATTCCATCTCGATTCCGCCGTAAAAGAAGCCATCAAGGAGAAGGGCGATTTGGACATTTCACTCTGCATCCTCGTTATAGGCAAAACCGGAGTCGGAAAAAGCGCAACTATAAATACCCTTTTCGGAGAAACGAAGACTGCAGTCAATGCGTTCGAGCCTTCCACGAATCGTGTGAAAGAAATTATCGGTACAATAAATGGAGTCAAAGTGAAAGTCTTCGATACTCCTGGACTCGGAACTTCTTCGATGGAAGACCAGTCCATTAACCGAAGAGTTTTGTCTTCGATTAAGAAGGTGATGAAGAAAACCCCACCCGATGTTATTCTATTCGTCGACCGATTAGACACGCAAACCGATAATAACCTAAACGATTTGCATGTAATGAAATCAGTCGCTTCTTGTCTGGGCTCTTCAATGCGGCAAAAATCTATCCTTGTTTTGACACACGGGAATTCGATATTTTTTTCAGATGGGCTCGACGAGGCACTTGTTGCTGCTCAGAAATTACGGGTTTTTCAAGAGCTTATTAGGCATTCATCTATGGAGATTAATCGTGGACCGTTGATTCCGGTATGTGTAGTTGAAAACCATTCGTGTAGAGAAAGTTGGAGATTGGAGCTTCTGCTTTTGTGCTGCTCGATCAAGACTTTGTCGGAATCAAGTTCTTCGATTATTGCGATTGAGAATAGTCTCTTTGACAATAGGGAGAAGCTCTTCGGTTTACAGTCAACTTTATCGTACTTGTTGTCCGTCTTATTACAACCCAGTTTTCACAGGAAACAACGCTGTAACGATGCCTCAGATCTCGATCTTGAATTTCCGTCTCTTTCCGACATCGAAGAAGGCATCGAGGGTAATGACGATAATACCCCTCCGTTAAAGCCCATGAAGAAGAAATCACAAATTGTTAATCTGAGCATGGGACAAAGACGAGGGTACTTTGAGGAGTTTAATTCGCGGGCGCCAGTCAAATATGAAATCGAAGCTGCAAATCGTTTTTCGCCGGAGATTACAGCTCAGCTTAACGATGATAAGCAAGAACTGAATATCAAGTTGCATTCGCGGGTCCCACTTGGGCTGACTGTTGTGAGACACGGGGGCGAAATGTATGCGTGCAAATTGGAGTCTCGATTTCCGGTCGGTGGAAAATCGAGTGTGAACGCAGGTTTTGGTATGAACAGCAGGCTGACCGGACAGATTTGTATCAAGGCAAGAGATTCCGATCAGCTTCAGATTGCTGCCCTGGCTGTTTTTCTTCCGGTCGCCGGAGCTGTTTTCAGGGGAATATTCCGGCGATCAGACGAGGATAATTGAAGTTCAAGAAAAGATTTAAGAAAAAAAAAAAAAACCAGTTGTTTTGTTAATATATATATGTTATTTGTTGATTTTTGAATGTAGTTGTTGCTGTTTATGTAATGAAATGAAAACTGACAACCTCGGACTGGGTTTTTTGTTCATGAATGATTGAATTCTTGAATTTTCTTTTTAGCTAATTTAAAAAAAAAAACTTTTTTTTTTAATCGAATAATGCATGCAATTTCTGATTCAATGCAATATTTATTGGGGATCACTATTTCAAATCTCAACTTTTGCTTACTTGAATACCAAAAAAATAAAAAATAAATAATTAATTGTAAATTACTTTAATACCCTTAATGAAATTAAAACTAAAAAAATATTACAAATACTATTTTTCTTTCTTAAATACCAAATAATCAAAAACTCAAAAAACCATTTCCCTCCTTCTCCACCTCCTTCTTCTCCCTCCCCAAAAACGATACTTACCTTAATGGCTTCTCTTTCCACATATACTACCATATTATTGTCTTATAACTCCATTTTATAAGTTTTGTGAGGTTTTGATTTTTTGAATTTGGAGATGTTTTGGAGGATTTAAGAAGATGAAAAAGATAGGGTTTAATTGGGTTGTCGCGGCAGTTACGAGCACGTACGGTGGCGTTCGGCGGCGGCGGCGGCGGCGGTCAGGGTTGGAGAGGAGAAGAAATGGTGGAGGTTTTTTTTTTTTAACAACAAAGGGTTTTTTTTCTTTTTTTTTTATTTGGTTTTTGAATAGGTAATTTCTAATAAAATTTGATATAATTGATATTTTGTATGAAAGGGAGTTTTTGTAATTTTCTTTTTATTTTGGTTTTAAAGTAAGAAAAAACTTATAAATATGTACTCAATTGTGGTTTCAACTAGGTAGTATTCAACTAAGCAAAAATTAGTATTCAAAATAGTTGCCCCCATATTTATTATGTAGGCGTGTACAATATTTCCTGATTCTCAACTATAAATACACATCACACTTTGAGTAATTTAATCTTTTTTCAAATGGAAATACCCCTGAAGTAAAATCAAATTACGAAAAGACCCTCGTGTTTGGGTAATTACAACCACCCCTCAGAATTCGACATAATCTTCTAGATCCGTGAAATGTTCTCTAATTTCAACTCGTTTTTGCGTAAAAATGTGATTTCTGATGCACTACAATATTATATTTACAAGCCAAGAAACACATCTTACGATCATATTGTTTCAAAATGTGGAACTCGAACAGAGTAAAACGAGTACAAAGTGAAGAATATTCCATATAATATAGAAGATTCCGTTAAATTTGACACTGCAATAGCGTACGTATAAAAAGATTTATAGTTAATGACGGTGATTGCAATTACCAAAACATAAAGGGTATTTTTCGTAATTTAACCTTACCTAGGGGGTGGCCACCGCAATTTACCCTTTTTACAGTCCTATTTTACCAAACCCATCTTCCACCACCAAATCACCGAGCACCGCCACTAGAAATTCCGCCGGAGCTCCGCCGCGGATCATTCTCCAGCACCACTACCCGCAACCAACAACAGGAAACGAAAGAGCACCACAGCCACCGCAACCTTCCACCACCAGCCGCCACGTCAGCCTCCTATTTCTTCTTTCTATAATATACAACATTCTCGTTATTTTTTAGAGAGAGAAACAAATGATTTTTAAGTAGACGATTTTTAAAGAATTATTTTGGTAGTGTGGAAAAAGTAGTTTGGTGTGTTGCATCTAGACCCTCCCTTTTTAAAACATTTGCAAGAATACCCCAACTATTTTTGGAACCGAGCCAAAGGGGTCCAAACTCCAAACTGAAAGCTCAAATCTCCCCCAGACCAGACGCCACTGCCTCACTTTATCCATAACCAAAATTAACGTTGTTCAGAAACAAAAAATCACTGTAAAAAAAAGGAGTTTTGTTTTTCTCAATTTTGCTCAATGGAAGAGAAAAACAAATGAATAGTGAAAGGGGATGGAATCCACCCACTTCACTAAAACATTGACTCCCGCAAATTTTTATAAACTCACCAAAATGGCATTGCAGAGTTCTTCTAACAGGGTAGATAATCTTTTTTATTTATTTATTAATTTCTGCTTTATCCCGTGTACAGTTTAATTGTCATTTTGTTCTTGGTCGAAGGTTGACTCTCTTGTTTCAATGGCAGGTTCTTTCTTGGGTAGTAAGTTTGTATAAATTCAAATTATATGTTTTGAATTCCTTATTGGACTTCTTCTGTAGAACTATGTTTGAAGTTTTGGTCTACATGTGTGCTAATCAATCATATGTCTAATGTTCTTTCTTTAAAAAAATAACCGCATGTCAAGTGTTCGACGAATTGCTTCTTGCATTCATATTTATTACTTCGTTGTTGGAGAAAGTTTTGAGTAGTTGTGAAAGAAAAGGCATAATGTTTTTTCTGTGCACGGTTTTTCTCGGCTGTTTTAGTTACTTTGTGTCGCATGTATGATAATTGTTTTAAAAGATTAAACCTGTTGTGCTTTAGGGGTTTCATTACGAGCTACAAATTGTCGATTTTTTTTTTTGCCCCCCTTATGGTGGAAACATCTAATATGGTTTCTCTTATTTGATCAGGCTCTGTCGCTGAAAAATTGCTCATCGTTTAGGAATACTACTGCTGTCAGCTTGTTACATTTAAGAAGAAGCTCTTCAGCGAAAGTTTTATCGTTCCTGCACGTGACTTGCTATTCTACTTGCTCCGATATAGATTACTCCTCATCCTCGAAACGAAGATCGCGTGGCCCTGTTATGGCTGCAAAGGGAAAATCTGAAGGTAATCAAGAATCTTTGAGTTACTACATGGTTGCATTTAATTTCATTCGTGTTTGCTGATCTTACTTTGTATCAGTAAGTGTGACAGCCTGACAGGTGTACTTATTGTCGTCCAGGTGAAAAACAGGAAGATGGAAAGTATAAGCACACAATCGATCTCCCTAAGACAGGCTTTGGATTACGAGCAAATTCTGTTGTAAGGGAGCCTGAAATTCAAAAATTATGGGACGAAAATCAGGTGTTTAAGAGGGTCACCGGTAGGAATAGTGGGGTAAGTTCTTTCTTTGACTTTTTTCTTTTTATTGATCTGTTGGTGTTGTGTTTTTCTATATTTGGTAAGTAAATTGTGGCTGATGCTAATCATCTTGAACAGGGTAGCTTTGTGCTACACGATGGCCCTCCGTACGCAAATGGTGATTTGCATATGGGTCATGCGTTGAATAAGATTTTGAAGGATATTATCAATCGATATAAGGTAAAATCAAGAATACTTGTTTTGTACAACTTTTTCGTGACCGAGATAAGAACTTCGTATTTTTTTTTGTGCCCCTCTTGTGAACTTTTTTCAGTTCAATTTCAAAGAATACCATCTCGTCTTCAGAATTTTGGTGTAAGTTAATGAACTTTTTTTTTGTTTCAGCTTCTTCAGAACTTCCAAGTTCATTACGTGCCTGGTTGGGATTGTCATGGATTACCAATTGAATTGAAAGGCAAGTCTTTGCACTTGTCTAGTGTGTCATATAATCGGGATTTTAATTAATTTTATTTATTGTTATAGTATTTGGACTGTATGACAGATCTTGTTGATTCGTTTCAGTTTTGCAGTCAATGGATCAGGATGCTAGAAAGGATCTGACACCAGTTAAATTGAGAGCAAAGGCAGCCAAATTTGCTAAAACAACTGTCAAGAATCAGATGGCAGCATTTAAGGTTGTACTTTAGTTTTTATTAGATTAGCCAAAAAAAATAAAAAATATTACACTTCCAATGAAATTAAAATACCTCGTACTCTCTGTGTGTTTGAATTTTATGTGATGGGCCCACGCCATTGGATAAAGGATATTTCATATACCTATTTAGTTGACAAATTCTTATTGTAATGAGAACAGCGATATGGTGTATGGGGAGACTGGGATCATCCGTATCTCACTCTTGATCCAGAGTATGAAGCTGCTCAGGTAAATTTTCACTCAACGAAATTGGCAAATACGTAATTTAAGCTTCGGTTATTTTTATGTAGTTGCTTATCTTTATCTTACCATTTTCACTACGTTGTTCGAATGAACTGTACCAGATTGAAGTATTTGGTCAAATGGCTTTGAAAGGGTATATCTACAGAGGCAGGAAACCTGTTCATTGGAGTCCCTCGTCTCGAACAGCTCTTGCAGAGGCTGAATTGGAGGTTGACGAATCTTTTAATTTTTCACTTTTGTTTTTTTAACAAATGCATTATTTTGATGTCTTTAAATTTATCGTTCTTCTCTTGATTTTTAAATTTATTTATTTGCAGTATCCCGAGGGACATGTTTCAAAGAGCATATATGCTGTTTTCAAATTAACTAGTACTCCTACTTCGTGTAATGTGTTGGACGAGTTCATTCCCAATTTGGGCTTGGCTATTTGGACTACGACTCCATGGACCATCCCTGCTAATGCTGGTAAGATTTTCGTGTTTTGCGTGTCTGGTCTTGAAATCTTGATTTCATTCGTCACATTTTTATGTTAAAAAAAACAAAATTTGGAATTATTTTTGTGTTCAGCTGTTGCTGTCAATTCAAAGCTTCAATATGCCGTCGTTGAAGTACATTCCGATGACGTGGATATAACTGCGTCGTCGGGTGATAAAGAGAAAAGAATTGGCAATCTATTGAAGGAACACAACAAACTGTACTTAATTGTTGGTTTGGACCTTGTTCCAACTCTAGAGGCAAAATGGGGATTGAAGCTTAGTGTCAAGGCAACACTTACTGGTGCAGATCTTGAAAATTGCAGGTTCGGTATCTTGTTTTTTTTTTTTTTTTTTTTTTTCTTTTTTTGTAATGGCGATATAAATATATGCTATGTGACTCGTTAGAAAACAACATTGAGCAAGAACGAAGATGTGTCCTGGTTAGGAGTGAAAATTGGAATAGAAATTGTGAATTCCGCAAATTCCAATCCAAAATTTTCCGATTTTGAAACAGTATTTTTTATTTCCGATTTCGGACTTTTTCAGTTTTTTAGAATGGAGTTGCAATACATGTTAGATTCCGATTTCCGATCCAATTTTAATTTACAAAAATTACACTTACAATGTCTATATAGGGCCTTTTTGGTTTTGAGGGTGTGATTGATTTAGTAGGATTGCACTGTTGAGGATTGTGTAATAATTGAAAAGGTGATGTTTGGATTTCAGGATTGAACTTTTTTATAGTTGGGTAAGTATATCAATATCTTATTTGGATTGATTGATAAAATAGGATAAAATCTAAAAATTCCATAATATCCTCGCTTGAAGAAGCATTAAAGGTCTATTTGGAGCCATACGTCCTCCTGAGCATTTCATCAAACAACTTATCTGCATCATAAGCTCTCATTACCTTACACGAAGAAAAACATCGAATTTTTCCGAAAGTGCTAATTCCAATCCGATTTCCACCATCTGAATCCGTACTCACTTCCATTTTTTTTCCTTTTTTTTTATTTTGACTTACACTTTTAGGTACGTTCATCCCATAGAGCAAAGAGAATGCCCAGTTGTTATCGGTGGCGATTACATCACAACAGAGTCGGGAACTGGACTAGTTCATACTGCTCCTGGCCATGGTCAAGAAGATTACATAACCGGCCTTAAATATAATTTGCCCGTTTTTTCCCCTGTGGACGATGCAGGATTATTTACCGAAGAGGCTGGTCAATTCAACGGTCTCGATGTTCTTGGCAATGGCAATGTTGCTGTTATCGAGTGCTTGGACAATAACTCATCATTAATCATGGTTGAACCGTACAGTAAGTCTTTTAACCCTGGCCACCCTTTTCTTCCTATAATATCACAAGGGACAAAACTGTAATTTCGACAAAATGCAGAGCACAAATACCCATACGATTGGAGAACAAAGAAGCCCACCATTTTCAGGGCAACTGAACAATGGTTTGCTTCAGTGGAAGGATTTCGAAAAGCTGCAATGGAAGCAATTAGCCAAGTAACATGGACTCCTCCACAGGTATTTTATAACTAATCTTCGTTTGCTACATTTTTCTTACCTTCTTAAGATTTGTGTGATTGAATAAATGTTGATGTTAATAGGCGGAAAATCGGATTTCTTCCATGACTTCAATTCGTAACGATTGGTGTATCTCCCGACAAAGAACTTGGGGTGTGCCCATCCCGGTTTTTTATCATGTTGAATCGAAGGAGCCGTTGATGAATGAAGAAACCATTGATCATATTAAGTGTAAGAATTCGTATATCATTTTTTTTTTGCGGGATATGTTTTTTTAAAATAAAAATTAAAATCAGCATTATTGTTTTTGGCAGCTATGATTTCACAGAAAGGAAGCGATGCATGGTGGTACATGAAGGTAGAGGAATTACTTCCGGAAAAATATCGGAATGAAGCGTCAAACTATATAAAAGGAACAGATACAATGGATGTTTGGTTTGACTCAGGTATACGAAGATTCTGATTGCGTTTTACGGGTAAAAAAGTGATCACGAGCAATAATTTAAATTTATTTTCGTTATTTTTAGGTTCTTCGTGGGCAGCAGTATTGGGGAAGAGAAAAGGTCTTAGTTATCCTGCAGATTTGTATATCGAGGGTACAGATCAGCATCGTGGCTGGTTCCAAAGTTCATTATTGACGAGCGTTGCCACTAATGGTAATAAATTAATAAAAAAAAAATTAAAACTTATATGTCAGATAGCAATTTCTGAAATCATTGACTAAATTGAAGTCTAGTCAATGATGTGTATTATTCCAATGATTTTCGCGAGTAAACAACTATTCCATAATCAATAGTCTTTCTTCGCCGAAATCTAAATATTCACGACATTTTGCACTAATATTGCAGGAAAAGCTCCGTATCTTGGTGTTGTAACACATGGATTTGTACTCGATGAAAAGGGCTTCAAGATGAGCAAATCTCTAGGAAATGTTGTTGATCCGAGAACTGTGATTGAAGGCGGAAAAGATCAAAAGGTAGTTTCGTACATCAGACCGTTATTATTATTAGGGTAAATTACAACCACCCCCCTGAGGTATGGTCAATTTAATAAAACCCCCCTCTTGGTTGGATAATTACATCTACCCCCTCTTGGTGTCAAATTCAACATAATCATCTAGATTTCGTGGAATGTGCTCTAATTTGTACTCGTTTTGTGTAAAAATACAGTTTCTGATGCACCACAATCTTATATATACAAGCCAAAAAACACATATTATGATCATTTTGCTTCTAAATGTGGAGTTCGAATGGGATAAAATGGGTACAAAAGTGATAATATTCCATATAATCTCAAAGATTCCACTAAATTTGAAACCGCAAGGGTGGACGTGTTAGAAGATTTATGGTTGAGGGGGGTGGTTGTAATTACCCAAACATGAGGGGGGATTTTGTAATTTGACCATACCTCAGGGGGTGGTTGTAATTTACCCTTATTATTATTATTTTATTATATAATTTATTTATTTTGTGTCTACGATGCTGAATTTTGTGTTTATGTACTTGAACAGGACCCCTTTGGTGCAGATGTACTTCGTCTTTGGGTTTCGAGTGTAGATTACACCACCGATGTGACAATCGGAAATAAAGTGCTTCGTCAAATGTCGGATGTATACAGGAAACTAAGAGGGACTTTGCGGTTTCTTTTGGGAAACCTTCATGATTGGAAAGTATGCATTCTTTTTTAATGCTAATATCTGATTAGAGATAATGTGGTTCCTTCCTCCTCAACTTTATTTAATTCTTGCTATGTAATATATTGAAAAAAAATATTATTTTTTTTCAGGCGGATTATGCTGTTCCTTATAGTGAGCTTCCGATGATAGATCAATACGCATTATTTCAACTCGAAAGTGTCGTGAAGAACATTACAGAGAGCTATGACAACTATCAGTTCTTCAAGATTTTTCAGGTATATATTCCATCGTTTGTCGGTTCTAAAGTTGGTAACAAGTAAACGAGTGATAAAAGTACTGTTTGGATAAATGGGAAATGATTTTATATTTGCAACAAAGATGGTAATAAATAATAATAGCATGCCAACATAAGAAAGCAACATCATTACATTTACCTTTTGAAAGATTTTATTTTTTAATTTTTTAATTTAATTATTTATTTATTTAATATCTCGTCGATCCTTGTACAGACCATTCAGCGGTTTGTGGTTGTTGATCTCTCAAATTTCTACTTGGACGTTGCCAAAGACCGACTCTATGTTGGGTAAGCATATTCGCTCGATTTCATCAAAAGTGTGCAATAAGCTTTTCACATTTATTTCACATCATTGTTATTAAAAAAAAAAAAAAAAAAAAAAAAGGTTTTCGTACGGATATCTCCATATACCGAATTGTTTTAGTTTTCATAAATTTATTTTGTTAAATATGCTTACAGGGGAACCAGTAGTTCGACTAGGAGGACATGTCAAACAGTGCTTGCTGCACATCTACTCTCTGTAGTGAGAGTAATTGCTCCCATTTTGCCACATTTAGCGGAAGATGTGTGGCAGAATATTCCTTTCCCATTCACCGCCGAAGATGGAGAAAAGGCGACTTTTGTCTTTGAGTCAAAATGGCCCGTTTTAAACGCAAGGCATCTTTCGTTTCCAGAGGAAGAGGTTATTTTTTGGGAAACAATTCTTGAGGTAATATATTCAAGAATCAAGATACATTCTAGTTTTTCTTTTCTTTTTGAAAATCGAATTGTTGTCCACTTTACGCAGATGAGAACCGAGGTAAACAAAGTGCTTGAGGTGGCTCGTACGAAAAAGTTGATTGGTTCGAGTTTAGAGGCAAAAGTTTATCTCCATGCATCTGATACTGACCTCGTTTCGAGATTAGTTGACATGTGCGCATCGAAAAATGAAGCTGACACACTGCACCGCATCTTCATAACATCTCAGGTACACTTAACAATAGACATCAATCTTGATTTTTATGCCAATATTACATGCTCTTTTTGTGACAGAATTAGTCGAATTCCGCCTTCACATTTCTCTCCTGCAGTTCTAGTTTCTCCATTCTAAAACCTTTCAGTTTGAGGAAAACTAAAATGTTATATACCGTTTTGACCTCGAACGTGATTTTGACCCTTTTCTAGTCTGATTTTGGCGAAATTCGAAGCACGGAAACTGTAGTCCTTTGAGATAACTTTCTAATCCAACTTAAATCAGCTAGATTGGACACCGAGTGACAAAGTTATGCATGATTGAGTTTCATTTTGAATTTTAGATAACTCAAAACATCAAAGTTGTGTGGATAGGGTGATTTGTGCTTTATCTTTCTCACTCGACATCCAATCTTGGTGATTCAAGTTGGATTAGTAATCTTACTCAAAGAACTACAAATTCCATGTTTTGTATTTTGCCAAATGCAGCTTAAAAATGGTCAAAAACACGTTTCTGAAACGACATTTATCACACCCCTTAAGAAAAATTGATATTTCTCAACTGCCCAATCTATTAGGCCTCTTCTGGCTGGTCTTTACGATAAATCATGAATAATTAAATAATGCTATCTTATTTAGATTTGGTTAATGAAACAACTTATGGGGCCACCGAATAATTTTGGATCAACCCATTTTTTTTTAGATGAACGAGCTCTTATCTTGATTTATCGGAGAATTGTATATTTAATCGCTAGATTGCATGATCTTTCTTATCTTGTGCAGGTGGAGATTCTTCCTTCTCTAGAAAACGTGAGCGAAGACAACATACCTTGCTCCGGCGAGTATCTTATCCAAAATGAGAATAAAGTGTGGATCGGAGTTTCACGTGCAGATGGTTTGAAATGTGAAAGATGCTGGAATTTTTCGAGTCAAGTTGGAAATTACCAAGACCACCCCTCACTGTGTGGCCGTTGTCATAGTGTTATCGGACAGCCAATCCCAGCTCTCGCAGCAGCTAGTTGAGATACGAGATTTCAACCAATTTTTGCTTCATTACTAAACCCTTATTTTTTTGCAACATCTGCACTTTCTCAATAATTCAGATTTTCTTCAATTGGAATCTTGGAAAATTTTCATATGTAAAGAAATGGCTGGTTTCATATTTGAAAAGATTCATATTTCGATATTAGTTCCTTTTAACATTAGTTGTCAACTTTTTTTAGTTGCAAGTTATGCATAGATTAAGAAAATCGATAAATATGTATAGATTGTAGCAAAAAAGACAGAAAATCACTGAAATACCGTGCCATAAAACGGGAAGGAGAGGGAGTACGAGACTCCGAAATAGGTACAAATATAATGTCATCAAAATAGTAAAATCGGACTACAAAATTTAATTGTGTGCTTTATGCTTTCTTAAATTGCAAACAATAGATGCTCAAAAAATTTCAATTAGATTCAAACCAAATTATTCATCAACTTGGATTATGAGAACAATGCGGGTCACTAAGCAAACGTAGAACGATAAAAAGTGCGGCAAATTGATATAGTTACAACAGAGAAAGAAGTAAAGGATTGAGCCGAAGCTCCACTTTCTTCTACAGTAATTTGTAGCTCTTTCAAGTAATTTGTTGCAATAAATCCAAACCATCTTCATCCTGCGATTGTAACTGTAGATCCTGTAACAAATTAAAAAATGTATTAATTACGCAGCTCGCTGATTCTACAAATCTTGATGTTATATAAGTCCAATTAACTGACAATTTTAATTACCTGTGCTTGAAGAAGTTGATTTGGTTGTTGTTCTTGAGAAGTTGCATACGTTTGAGGTTGAGACATTCGATAATAAGGCTCTTTCAGATCGAGTTTGCCGGACGATGTTTGAAGTATTCCTCCTTGTTCGGCACCCGGGCCCCACATTTTAGCTGTTTTTTAAAATAAATGTTAAAAAAAAATACCAAGTAGAAACAAATCTTAATAAATAAATTTGAAAAAAAAAGGCCAACCTGACAATGTTAAATTGAGAGTATAACTCTGAGCTTTATGCGCAACCATTTGAAGCCGTCCAGTTATTTCTTGGCCAGGCATCACATAAATCGGTTGGGCAAGAACACAGCGAAGCTGGTACCAGTGTGTTGTCGGTGCACCTGGAGCAGTGGTAAGCCATCTTTGTACAGTGCTAATGGTGTTTATCATTTTTAAGATAGTTAGTGAACATGGTAATAAGTAAATATTTCGGGAAAACAATGAAAAAGTAATGTGCGTGAGAATTATTAAATCATTACCTCCCATTGAACAATACGTCGAACCAACACGCTAATCCGTGTATTCTAGTCCCAACGGAAGATACAAACTTCAATGGAATGTCAACTTCATACAAATCTTCCTCCTGTCGAATAATAAAAAACAGACAGAAATAAATCCTTTTGTAAGTTTAGTAATTGAATTATGATATTTTTATGACCAAATTTTAGAATGGTGAATTTTAGAGATTTTTACTTCCTTGCTTGATATATAGCCACGGAAGCAAACATGTCTATTTGGAGAACATCTTGTTTACCGACAATTTTGTAAAACATTTCAAATATGAGAGAAAATCTAATGTCGGGTAGTTTCTCGTTCACTTTACAAGAACCGTTAATAAATGATTAAATAGCTGTTTCTTATCCAAAAACAAAAAGAAAAAAATAAAAAACAGATGGAATTAGAAAGTTGCATGTACAGTCAAGTGTTTGTTAGTAACGTTTACCTTAGCAGTAGTGAAGTCGATCACATGGGAGATTGCAGGAGCCACCAATAACCTAGGATCAAAAGCATCCACCACTGGCTGCAATGTTCAGTTAAGAGTTAAGACAAAAGAAATTATAACCAATTTAAAGGCAAAAGAAATTATGACGATTTGTTTGTGGATTTGTTCATGTCAAAGTAAAGTTAAAAGTTTGATAACATTTCTATACGTAGATATATAGACAAAGAAGCACAAAACAGGAATAAGAATCCAACCTGTGAGAAGTATCCTTGAAAAGCAGTACCATGTAGAGGTGTCAAATTTACGCCATAATAATTTTGTTGCTGCCAAAACAACGCCTGAATGGAAAACAGTGACAACAACTTAATCACATTCGAATTGTCAAAGCAATATAAAGGCGAATATAAGGGCCTTAAATCAAGCTTCAATTTAATGCCTATAATTAAAGCTCTTCAAATTACCCCTTCCCGAGCATTATAAGAAAATCCAATGAACATTTGACCAATATTTCCCTAGTTTCCGACGTAAGAGATTGGAGAGTAGACAACTATGGTAATAATATATATTTACCTTATTTGCAATTTCCATGAATAGATATTCATCACTGAATGGCGCCATATGTATCCTACAAGAGAAAACGATTAAAGCAATTGAATAAGCACAAAAGAAGTATAATTTTGGGTCATATTTACCTTCCTACAGTTGGAAACATTTTTCCATTCGGAACAAGGAATCTATCTCTTGCAATTATGTATGACTCTAGCATTCTCTCATTGACTAGCAAAGTGCCTACAGGAATATAATTAGTTATCAGTAACTGCAATTAAATCAAATTCAGACTACATATTATCGTGAAGAGCATTTCCCTGAACCTTAAAAGAGTATTTCACATGTGTTTCTTCTTTATTTAATTTTACCTAACCAGATGAAAAAGGAAAGAGCATTAAGCATACCCATTGGTTCAGATATCAAAATATCGGCTTTCTCAGGTAGTTCAACCTCTTCGACTTTACCCTTGATTACCTATTCAATGAACATAAGGCATGAAACCATTGAAAAGAGTAAAACAATAAATTTTACAAACACGTAAAGTGCGACAAAAGAACACCCACTGTTATTCTTTGGCTGAGTGATGGATTCCCAGCTATAAGCTTGCGGGCATAATCGGCCATTTCTGATGCTTCCACAGCATAAACGTGTTTTGCACCAGCCTAAAAGAAAGCATATATAAATGAGTAAGCGCTGATACGATAAAGTAAAAAGTTTAATGAATCATGAATAATCATCAACCTGAGCAGCAAACAAAGACAATATGCCACTGCCAGCTCCAACATCAACTACTACACGATCAGTAAAATCAACACGGTTCTCAAGGACTGCAGCATAATAAGTTCCTGGTACGAAAATTTCTACAATGTTATCAAACAGTACAGAGAGTACAATTCACTGACGCAATAAAAGTTATTAGAGTACATGATGAGCTGTTAGATATAATAATTTCTTGATGGCAACCAATAGCCACTAGGTCTTCAAAATTCCGGATGTTACAGAATTTTGAAAGACAAGTATGGGGAACAGTTTGAAAGAGAGTGTCAAAGATCAGAGTTGTAACCTGTCCTGACATAGTCCTGCATCATATTTTGCTGATGTAGAAGCTGTCCGTAATAATGGAAGTACATTTTGGCAGAAGACGCCTCTATTTTGTCGTCGAACTTGCTTATACATGATCCAATTCCATTTGGCAAAGATGACCCTGGAAAAAAAATTTAAAAAAAGCAAGATGTGAGCCTGCTTGTCCTTCAGCTTTATCGTAATTATTTTTTTTTTAATCTTATTTCTGACTGACAAAAGGACTGGACTGAAACATACGAACAGTTTTCAAATTCTTGGTAAAATACAAAGCAATAACCACATCGGCCATGACAAACCAACAAAAGATATCACAACAAACCTTGAACAACCACTTCTTTCTTCCATTGCTCAAATGCAGAATGGAATTGTCTACTTTCCTCCTCGTTTCTAAACTGTATGGTGATTCCCTTGGAAAAGCTTTTCTGATTCACAGTACAACAGCCAACATGAAAACTACTTATTCTATAATGTCAAACGTGGAAAATAAAGAAACGAATCTCGGCAAGTACTACTAAAAATTCTGCAATTTATTATCTTAAATTCATCTTAAAATAAAATTAAAATAAATCAATTCCCAGAGCCTGCAATAATCTGGATCCTAAAAAATGAACTACATAATCAAAAATTAAGCGTTGCATAGTACATAGGGCAATGAATTGAATCCATACCTCTTTATTTATTTCAGAAGCTTCAGATATACACAATGATTGGAAAGGACCTAGCTTGAAAAGCTGGAATAAAAACCAAAATTGAAATAAACGAATCATCATAAAATATTCAGAAAGAAAAAACATCCAATTACAAAATACAGGAGCTAAACTTGAAAAAAAAAAAAAAAAAACATCTCCGAACCTGGCAGTTGAGGAGATCGAACTGAACCGAGTCACTCGAATCGGTCTCCAATCCAAATTGAAGCGAGTCGGAGCGAAAACGCGCCACCACCGGCGGCGAAGAACTGCCGGAAATCGACAGCTGCGAAATTGACGCCACCAGAAAATCTGTCTCCCTCATATCGTTATTCTCCATTGAGTAACAAATAAAAAAAAAAAAAAAAAAAACCAAAATATCTAACTACTATTTGTTACCAGAAAAAGAGAAAATCTATAAAACGACTGTGTGTGTGTGTGTGTGTGTGTAGAGGAGTTAGGGTTTTTAGTGAGAGTGTGGGAGAAAGGTTTTAGTGCGCATAAAATGGTTTTCGTTCTACAGTAGTGCAGCTGATGACGTGTCAGTCGCGGATTGGTCACAGGTTTTTTTTTCCTTTTTTTCGTTTTTTCTTGGATTCTAGAGGACTAAAGTACAAAGTATCTTATATATATATTTGCCAACTCGTGAATTTTAAAGCATTGGAAATAATTGTTCTTTTCTTGTCACGATTAACATATTTTGAATTAAAATAAACATATTTAAAAAAAATCAACCATGACTAAATTAAGGCATAATCTTATTATATAATGTATAATGAATGGAGTTCAAATTTGTATAACAGCGTTCACAAATCATAAATTATGTGTGACGAGCTCGATTTAGTGATTATTGATAACAAACTCGAATTAGAGTCAATAGACGCTGACCCTTTTACTCCAAGCGCTAGATCATCATTTACGATACGTCATATTTTTAAGTTGCTCTCTTATATAGATTGTTTTGAAACATATATTTAATTTTCTACCCACTAATAATTTTATATTTATCAAGAAGTGTACATGATTCAAAAGGGGGCAACTATTTTGAATACTAATTTTTGCTTAGTTGAATACTACCTAGTTGAAAACCACAATTGAGTACATATTTTTAAGTTTTTTCTTACTTTAATACCAAAATAAAAATAAAAGTACAAAAATACCCTTTCATACAAAATACTAATTACATTAATTTTTCTTTGAAATTACCTATTTGAAAACCAAATAAAAAAAAAAGAAAAAAAAAATCAAACACAAAAACTCCCTCCGTCAACCTCACGCCGCCCGACGCCGCCGCCCAACCATCGCCGCCGCCGGACGCCGACGCCAAACACCGCCTAACGCCGCCCACGCCGCCCAACGTCGCCCAAAGCCGCCGCCGTCGTCTTCTTCGAATAGTAAGTTATAGTTGTTTCGATTTTTTTTTTCTTTAATATTTATTTAAGATTTGAATGTTTGATATGGGTAATTAGGATTTGGTTGTTTTAGGTTAGAATGATCGTTAATTAGTAATGGGTGCATCTGATTTCAGTCGATTTGAGCATTGATTGAGA